CTCTTCCAATCAATGACGGATGCATACATAACATGCGCTTTCGAACTAACTGTATTCACTAGAATCTAAGCAACTGTATTCATCGAAGCATTGTTCAATTCATGTTTATAAAAAACAATACTACACCAAGTCGTTAATCCCATGTCTGAACACCAAACATGGCCATTCGTATTCTAATTTGTTTTGGGGGGAAATGGACAACATATTAATGTTGTACGTGACACATAGTGATCAATGTTCTCAAGTAATTTGAAGGAGGAGTGTGTCTTAGAATTTCATCTGGTTCGATTGACTACTAAATCTGATACAGATTGTGTGTGTACATGACAATTCCTTGCATTGTAACGGTATCTTTACTACATGTCCCGTCGTTGGTGGTATGTTGAGATAACTCGAAAAACTTAAATACTTCCTTTATTCAATGTAGTGGTAAATATGCTTATAACAATTTGTAAACATTGTAACGCTATGCATTCGTAATGAAACCTCTCCAGTCAATATTAATGTATATTGCATGGGAGTTTAATTATAACTTTTAATTTGTTTGACAAGTACTAATCTATTATTGCAAAAGCCCATATAAATTTCTTTCAATTACTAATATTTTAGTTGTTATTATAAATATTGATAAGGAATCGTCATATACAGTAGTGGTTACCATATTTCACCCGCTGTTGCAATAAATTCAATGATCTACTCATTTCACGATGCAACTGTTTCTCTTATATTGATTGAAATGGGCGTCGCTGCAACTGATATTTCGGGATTTAGTACTTGTTTGTGTTGCACTGCACATTAAAACAGTTCTTTTCATTGCCATTTTTCCATTCAAATTGATTTACGGAAGCCAAATATCAATTGTTGTTTCCAATGATTCGTTTATAAACAGATCCACAATTATGAGGCAATTGATGAAACCTAATTCTAATATCCAAAGTAACCTAAAACTGATTCATAAAAAAATCGGTATGCAGAAATCTATCTTGAGTTATCAATGACACCGCAGGTCATGGCTCCTCGTCTAATTTACAGTTTGTTTGTACGTTGAGCACAAGGGTATGTCAAAGATTGAGATAAAAGATCAAGTCATGCCAACTATGTCTTGAATATCTCATCACTAACAGTTGCTATTAATGTTTACATTCATTTTGTTTCACCTGTCCGAAGCTATCCATCTATAATTCGAAAAAAAAAGCGTTTGGCGTTCATGATCATCTAACTCGTTACAAAATTGAATAGTTGCGTTTTACGAAGATTTGCGTTTCCATAGGAACTATAAGCGTGCAATATACGCATGTTAACACCTATTTCATCAAAAAGTATGATATTTACATAATAAATATCTGGGCATGTGAATCAAATACGTTGGTTGACACTATGCTAGTCGACGTATTTAAAAAAATAATATTTTACATGGTGTTCAAACATGTTTGTTTCTTGCTAATTAAGCATGTCGTTCTTGGCGTTCAAAAATAAAACAGTGATGTACCCAACGTGGAGGTTTGTAACAGATATTAGATCATTATTCTGTAATTGAATCCTGTTATGCTACACTGTCTTAAAATAAAGAAGATATAGATTTTCTTATGATAGTGTTGTTCTTTTTCAGCTCGTTTCTGCATTTCTGTTTAAGTTTGGTACGGTGTTTATGAGCAGTGCGTGTGTATTAAGCTAACGACGATGTTGCGCTTATAGAAGTTATTGAACTCGTTTTATCCAGTGCTTTCTGGGGGTTGATCCCAGCGGAGCCTACCCGGGAGGGTATATCCTATATATGCATTAACCATGTTTTGTCATGATTGCGTAGTACAACACTAAAGGTTGTGAGCATCACATGGTCATATCTAGAACGTGGTACATTTCAATTACCTAGCTAAAGGTCACTGTTTATTCATGAATATCTGACGTGTTATGTAATCGAATTATTTGTATGTTTCTAATTAAGATAAATAAAGGCAAATCTACGGTCAAGTCACTTTTATTTCGATTGTGATACAACTGCATGTGGTAAGCTGTTGGTGTCACGTCGAGGTTCGGGGTCAAGGCCAAGGCGCGTTTCGGGTCATTATGTTTTAAACATATGTAGGTTGATATTAACTCGTTTCAGATGAGTAATTATCAAACTTACAGTTCTTGAGCTCATTTGGTTCTTTTTCCATACATAGCTTTGTTGTTTATAGCGTTCATTAGTCCAAGAATAAAAGTTAATAACCAGTTCTGACGGTATTCACACCAACGTGCTATACGCAATTAAAGTTTTTACCGCCTCGGGGATCTCTATTTTGTAGATGTCAATCAGAAAGGTCACTGAGCGGGTCAAACCCCAATATTTTGACAAGTTGCGGTTGATTTAAAGAATTTGCTAATTAACCTGTTAAGTACACAGTAGACTACTTTGTTTATGACGAAGAAGTCGCAGAGATTTTTATAAAACGACTTTTTATGAAATTGCTAATATTATACATATATATGTTAGAATTAAATAATGATAACTAGAGACTTATCATCATCATCGAATTATGTCATTCGTTTGGTCGCTTAGTTGTAATGCTATCCCGCTTCAGGGCACTGAAAGTAAATTTGGCAAGGGAGTTTATACGGCATTTTTGTGTTGACTTTCGAGAAATATACCATGATTTTCAAGTATAATGTGTACTTGATATACCACGATTGTTAAGTTATATAGCATTTCTATAGCAATTATATTCTCATTTCAAAGTTTAAATGAGTGCCGTTCTTGAATGATCACTACCATTGCAAAAAAAAAAAAAAAAAAAAAAAAAAACGATTCTCCCATCGGTATACCATACAACATTAACATGTAAAACTCCCCCTCAAACAGATGGTATAGGCAAACTACAAAGATTATTCAACAACAAGATTGAAACATGTAAACTAAACACACTATTACACCGCATGAATACACACGTGAACTCTGACTTTATAAAGAAAAAAAAGTTGACATTTTATTTTACCAACCGCGTGACACGTGATTGTGTACGTCAGACGACGCATTTATGGATTGTTTCTAAATGGCTCCCCAACTCTAACGCATAGCAGTCAGCCAATCAATGACCAGATTGTTTGTTGACTTTTTTTTGTCGACGTATCAAATCCAGCCTTGTATACATGTTTCGATTCAGCTGCAGTCAGCCAATCAATGACCAGATTGTTTGTTGACTGTTTATGTCGACGAATCAAATCCAGCCTTGTATATATATGTTTCGACTCGGCTGCCATTACGTGACTATTGTCCATTCTTAAGTGCAGCCAGTCGACATACCACTATTTTAGAATTAATCAAATCTTTACTGATTTAGGTACTTGTGATTCAAGGGCCCATAAGCTGGTTTATCTTGGCATGACTGACGTTTGACCCGTATTAGTCCTATTTTGAAATAACTCAATGCAAACGAATGAATAGACTGAACCTTTCTGTTTGTTTAGATTCGTCAGCAATGTTCACTGATACACGTGGTTTAGATATTTGAAAATTAAATAAACAGCGGGAGGGCTTGGGTCGAGTATTCGAGAGAAGCCGAACTACTATGCCAGTCGTCTCAAGAAACAAACTACGAAGAGACAAGAGAATATTATATGTTTTTTTTTGGAATTTTAAAAGTATAGGTATAACATAAATGTGAATCACAGTGAAAAATATAGAGAAACTAAATTACTGCGTTTGAAAATGTACTGCGTGAACCGTTATTAAAGGTATGACCGTTAGGGCTGATCAAATATACCTCAATTGGCTTTGTCCATTGTAACATGCATGTTGTAAACAAGCTATTTGGATTGTCAGATTCTTTCTAAAAAACGTTTGCCAACTTTACCAACTCATGGACCAGCGTATTTTATTCTTATGTATTATTTCAGTCCTATCACATTAGAAACTATTGATGATCCAGTTTCGCAGTATACCGGAATATACCAATGCCCTTCAATTGTCATAATCAAGGCAATTTGACGGAAGCGTATGTCTGATACTCTCATTCAACATTCCTGGTGAAATGCTCTAAGTGCAAACGTACTTTTGACAAGAAATAGGGTGACTGCATATTAAATCTAGGGGACGAATGCCAATTGAGGTCATCTGTTGACCTTAATGCTAATGTTAACCATCATTCACAACTAGTAAGCCCTAATCGAATAACACACACAGATGGAAATTTCATTTGCACCACTTTGAGAGCATTCACTCAACAACAACAACGAAACGTCAAACGAATTGATGATGTTTCCAACACGTTTTGGCAGGTTTACATATGAAAGTTCTTTAGCTAGGTTTCACATGTCTGCAAAAATGTGATAACATTGATTCCGATGCTCACTATTTCTGTAATTAAGATTTTTGGTGAGATAAGCATCACAGGAAGCGATTTCGATTGCCGGAACATGTGTTCTTACAAGTAAAACATGGCTGATAAGGGTGTATTCCAAACAAATAAGCAGGGGGAGATTTGCATCATACAGTACTCGCATTCACAATGATTGTATTCGATGTGAGAAATTACAGCGCTGAAAAAGTAACGCTGGGTGTGAAGTGGCTTGGTTGTGATACGGTCAAAGGTTGCTCGTAACTTCTTTTATGATAAACTGTGACAGAATAAACTATGAATGATAGTAGTGAAATGTGTAAGCATAGTATGCATATAACTCAAATCACGCGTTATTCGAGCGCCAATGACGGGCCGCCAAAGATAATGCACAAGCCATCCATTTTCCATTGTGGAAGTACGTGTGCTTATTTGTTGTATCTATGGTAACAATAAATAGATAATTTTAATCCAGTAAATCAAATTTTTGTGCGATTGAGCATATCTGAAGTTGTCCCATCCGCTATTTTTAAGCCCCTTTACGCCAGCGTAACGTGTTTTTCTCCTACGCCGACGTAATTGGATACACAAAACAGATATGAACTTGATAATAAGCCTATCATAATTGTGCTTGACGTATAATGTAAAGTGTATTTGTCTCACCTGTTGTCTTTTATTTTATAGGAGAAATGTCTGTACGAAGCAACAAGTTGTCAACAGACCGACATTAAGAGTTGGATCGTATTGTCAACCAGTATATAAACCTTACATGACGAGGTGTGACGGGTATAAACTTTGTAGTAGATACAGGTGAGTGAACATTGATATTTATTATACATAAAATTACATTTGACAATACTGTGTTCATACACTTTAGATTCGTAATATCACTAGTGTCGAATGAGACGTTATGTAAAATATACATTTATGATAAAAACGTGTAAATATCTAAAAACAATAATTATTGGTCGGCCAACAATTTCAAGTTACATGTGCGTTGTTCGCCAATATATTTAGCAAGATCTTCTTAATTTTGTTTTTGTTTATTTGGTACCACAATATGGTAAATTTTGGATCAGTATTACATTGTTCTGCAACAACGCGAAATGAAAGGATTGTGGTTTCCCAATAAAAACTCCTTTAATGGTCTGTTTATAATAATTTGAATAATAAATATTTGTGGAAGGGTACAGGTATGCTCCTTTCACGCTACGGCGGACGTGAAACCATTGGACCTTATTTTATTATAGAAATACAGTATTCAGTTTGGAAGGAAAGTTGTTTTTGCTTTGATCTCTACGACATATCAAACACCACTACAGCTAAAACCTTTAAAAAGTTCAATAAATAACGGAAACGTGGCAGGCACGTGCTCGGCAATTATCATATCTCCCTCATAGAAGGGGTTCTCGTTCTAGATTACAATTAAATTACACTGTCACTGTACTCTATAAGACCAGTGTAGAATACACTCGTACGTGTCAGTCACGTCCAATTCAATGACACGAATTAAGATAACGGGAATTGATACTAGACGTTTTTTTTATCGTGCATATTAGAAAAGTTCGGGCAGAGTACAGCAGCATGGTGAGTGGCCTAATCAGATTAAAGCACGAAGGGTGGTAAAACATACAACGAGATAGACAGGGAATATTGTAGGAATGTTCTGTGGGATCAACGCTAATTATGGCATGAAGTGTTTTCCTGTCGTGGCTTTTGATACCGCGACATAAGAAGTGTAATGCAGTAACCATAAACAGTGTTTGACATGTCTTCTCTACCCCCTAGGACAGCAACTCCTGTCTTCTCTACAGGTAGCGATCCACAAGAAGGACAAACAACTCGGCAACCACCTTCTTTCACATATTTCCGATTAGTTGACCCGCTTTGAGTTTTAAAGATGACACTAACTAAAAAAAGTGAGGCACTTGCACTTAAAAATTTATCATACTTCCTGAGCGATTTTTTTCACTAAATAAACGACAAAGAAAGATCTACCGGAACTCGAGTCAATAGACTCAGAACAATGTCTATGTGATTCGACCCTACCCCGGCCAGATATTTTGAAGTCACCGAGACGGTGAATAACCTGACAACATTTCACGAAAGTCCTGTGTCAAAAGTGAGTTCGTCATTAACAGCTGATTTGACTTGCCCCACGGCAGTGTTCAGACAACTTGGTTGGAGCAGAGAGTACGTTCATCTCGTACAGTTAAAAGAATTTACAATGAGCTTTCAACTAGTGCACCTCTTTATTTGCCCTGTGCGCTTCCTGCATCTGACCTCTCTGCCAGTGGGCATTCCAGAAAGTAACACGTTTTGTGTGATTATTTGTGTTTTTAGCTTGAACCCTTTCAAAGTTCTTAGCTAGCCATCTGGGACATCCGAAATATCGATGCCACTGAAATTGTGAGAAAGGGAAATAAACTAGTCTTTTTCCGCCTGCCTATTTGAATATACAAACTCGCTGCTCTTGTACACTCCCAGAGTCGTTGTACTGTAAGATATTTTCTGATTGGTCGGGGTTTGGCCTATCCCGTGTTCTCACCGCTGCTCTTCAACCAATTAGAACATATCTTGCATAATACAGTGCTCACTATCCAAGCAACCCAGAGCGTGTCGCTGAGTATGATTAAAGCTTCTTTGGTTCACTTCAGCGTTTGTAAAATATGTTGACTTCACTCTCGTCATCTGTCCAGATGGCACCCACGGACACAGAATGTTGTAAACGGAGTTTTTCTTATTAGGAGCAAGTCTTCAGGTCATGCGATAATATTTTGATAATCGTGACATAAATTAATATAATTAATCAGAGTGCTAGTAATCAGGATTTCTTTTCTGTTTTCTGTACGTGCCATCTGCCGCCGTGTATTGAAGTACGGTAAACCGTTGATGGCGCTGTTGTAGTTGTAGATTTGAAGTTTTCAAAATCAACTAGGTGAGGCATTCACACACCAAACTATGCTGCATCGCCACTGCAGAGAGTTTACTGAATACTTGCAAGAAAGTACGGTCTGATTTGACAAACGAAATAAACTGTAGGGAGTTGCCATATGTACATATTTATTTTGGCTCAACAAATAGTTCACATTGGCTTTATTGTCAACTATCCCAGACATATTAGTGGCCTTTCATGACACTCGTTACTCATTTATTGTCTGCGAACGAGGTTGCAGATTGTAGTCGACGTGTGAAAAAAAAAATGTTGGGGCCAAAGTTCAACACGGTGTATGAGATGTTTGAAAATTCATTGCCAGACGTCATTGGACGCATGTTTCCCGACTGGCTTCGTTGTAAATAATTCATGATTGACCTTTGGTCCTTGAATTAATAGCAAGTAGTGGATTCTCGAAGAGCTTGGTTGTACTTTCAAATACTACTAATTGTTGCAACTGTTACTCGGTGATTTCGTACATTAAGGCAATACATTGTACAGTACACTACAACAGAAACCATTTTGTGCAGTGTTTTTTCATGGAGTTATGGATGCCTAAATTTGCCCAAAACTGCAATTTTGCTAATTGACTGACCGTTAATTTATTACTATTTAGTATTTTACATTTTGTTTTCATTTCTAACTCTCACTTCTCATTAGTACACAGATAAATATGAATTATTGTTCCTTATTACATTGCAGTAAATAAATATTTTAACTTTTTGAATTGCAAAATATCAGGATTATATTCACGTCTGCGAAGTGACACTATATAGAGATTTCCGGCGCATGGGGAATATTGACTTCTAATCAAATGTCAAAATATTAATACTTGGGTCCAGCCAAGGCTCTCTTTGTAGACGACATTTTTTCCTCATATTACGTTTGCATATCATTCGATATAAATTCTTCTCCATGCGAAAGTGTTGTAAATTGGAAACAAACAAAAAGTCCATTCATCTTGTGCTTATCTGTTTCCGTGGCAGTTGTTCGCCATTTATCTTATGGGGTCTGTTCGCATTAATAAACTGTGGCCTCTCCACCTGTTGTACGGGTGTATCGTTCGTGGATTGACACATCAACTCAGAAGTTGTTGTTATTATCTCAAGAACTTTAGAATGACATGCCGCTGCCCAAGTTCGTTTTTACGCGCAAGGCGTTCTGAGTACTGTGCCAACGTCACGGCCAGAGACGGAGTTCACGCGATCAAAATAATGAACACTGCCTGAATTTCACAATTTACCATTGGACTGATTGATGACAACCCCACAGCGTCCGAAATAACGTTCCGAAATGAATTCAAATAGGGGATTTTCCGTACAATTGCGAGATTTCGCGAGATGTATGATAAGCGTGCGTCGAACGTCTGCCGCAAAAATCGAACGATTTGATTTTGAACTAGAATTTCTTTATTTCGTAACTCGCATTGACCGGCCGATCTTCGACAGAGGAATATTGCTTCCGAATACCCTTACTTAATCGAAATTGCCTATCATCAAATGTGGACAGCACATTATTAAGCATGGAAATATTCCCCAAAATACTTCGAGTTTGTCGAATCCCACGCGATGTTTGACGCCACTACGACGCTATGACCTTTGTTTGTCCTGTTTTTACGTTCGATTTCACGCATAATGCGTGATTCTCGCAGTGAACGGAAAATGGTCTATTGTTTCTCATTTTCTGATTCCATATTAATGACAGTGTAACGAAAAGGTAAGGGAATGGAATAAGAGTTCCTGGTGTATTTTAGCCTGAGAACCATGCTCGCAAGACTGCACGTTCTATTTTGTTTTCAAATACCAAAATGGAGGACGTTTTGACACAAACGGCATGCTGTCCACGTTCACATATTAACCTACTAGTATCCCGTAAACTCTAAACATATCACTAGCAACTAACAGCAATCTGTTACATCGTTACTTGTTGTGGTGACGTGTTAATGATCTCCTGTGACATCATTGGTTAGTGCAATTTAGGTTGACACGCGTATTCGCGGTAATACGAAGAGGCAATTTGCTGGTTTTAGTATCACGTGACATCTCTGTCCACCATGTTGTTCATACCCGGTAATCGGGTCGAGTGGGACTCACACCTTTCTATTATCCTCCTTTGACTATATTGACCTGTATTTTTATTTTTTTTTACAAATGTAGAACAATTTATCAGATATCATATCGGCAAACGTACGACGTGCAACTATCAACAGAAAGAACATACGAATGCTGCCCAGGTTGGACAACACACAGCGAACGAGCCAGGGGCTGCAGACAACGTGAGTATGCCACGTCCACTTTGCCGACTCCGCTAGAGACGCGAAGTCTCCTCACGTATCACCAAAGTTGAACGTACCAAAGGCGACGACTTTCTGTGGGTCGTAGGGGAAGGATTTATAATAAACGTATCATCTGGCAAAGGTGGCCAGAAACTGACGTTGTTGTTTTAACACACAGCTCTACACATAGATCACCGTCCACCAAACGTTATTAATATCCACAAATGCCGCAGAGTTTTGAATAAAAATAAATATCAATTAGACAAGAGACACGCAGGCTCATGACTTATTGTTATCTCATTGAATGCGATGATTACTGGCCTCTGTGTAAAAGGTGGCGTTTCAGCATGCATTCCAACTGTTGGCAATATTGCGCATGCGCAAATGAAAACTCTCATATGATCGGATTTTATTTGACATACTTGCAGCTCACAAGACGATTTATTGTACATTTTTTTTATATTATTGAGCATTATTAGAAGCATAATTATGTAGACAGCGACATTTCACAAAACACTGTTATAAATACATCTGACTCATATTTTGTTATGCAGCAATATGTTCACAGCCATGCCACAATTACGGAAGATGTACGGCCCCAGAAACGTGTACTTGCAGGCCAGGATGGACAGGCACTTATTGCGAAACAGGTAAAGTGACAAGAAACGAACGAATATGCAAATTTCTCATTAACATACACACAGACTAGTATTATAATGTGACAGGTATTTCTGGTACGAACATTTCACTGTTTTCCTTCGGAAAAGTTCTTGAGTCACGTCCACCGTCCTCTCTATGCGCGTCATGTGATATTCCGTTCATGAACGTCACGGGCCAATTTGAAGTGAAGTGGTGGCCCAGATTAACATGTCTGATGAGTCGAGTTTTTCACATCGAGGCGTTTTTGAAAACAATTTTAGTGTTATAAAAAATGGTCTCACTGATTATATTACAGTACTAGGACATGCAATAAATCAGGGTGGATTATTCCCTAAAAGCTCGGAGAGTGTAACATACTAGATACGTTTAATTCTATATTATGTTAATTGATTTAATATTTTTTTCATCCATCTTTTTTATTACAGATATCAACGAGTGTGACACGGGCACGCACTCGTGCAATCAGATTTGTCTAAACAACAACGGAAGTTACTCCTGCGCATGTCAGCCCGGGTTTATTCTCGAGACAGACAGGCGGAGCTGTAAAGGTGAGTTGCAATAGCACTGATATGTTGACGTCACCATTTACATTCACATCACTGCGATACACATATTATACGATTTGGTTGGAACCTCGCGAGACCACGAGGCCATCAGCCAGTCAAGGCAAATATGTAATAGTATTATTCTACAGTTTATACCTAGTTTTAGTTACGTTTATCGAAACCCGAAAAATGAAGATCTGTGACTGGCTAAAAAAAACATTTCTGTGTCGCCCTCCATTCCGCGGTGCGTATCTATCAAAGGGGCGATTGTGAATGCACAGTCACTCCGATCCCATGTGCATTTTGCTTCACGGTGTATGACTAAGCTATGTTTGATTTTTATCTATATATATATGGTTACTCATATTAGCTACATACTTGGGTTGTAACTAATTGACAAGTGATATATAGGAACCACAATGAGACCGAGTTGACAGACAAAAATCGGTCTTGTTTATCTTATCATCTAAAGCCCCACGGTCATATCGCCATGGGTGACAGTTCTTGATAGTCATGGAGTTGTCAAAACGACTCAGTGATACCGGAGAAGTGAAACAGGGGAACGCGGATTCAGCTGTTTTTACCGAATCCGTGAATACCTGAGCATGACCGATTACAAACCTGGCTTATCGTGAGATTATCTTGTTGTATTTCCGAGTCGAAAACAACAAAAGAACACAATCTTAAACGCGCGTGTTCCGAGCGTGTTCCGAGCGTGTTCCGCAATGAATGGTCAGTACTTTTGTGTTAACTATTCCTTCTGACTGTAGCCTTGTCCTATATTCAAGCCTTTAGAAAAGACAGATGCTAGACACGTGACAAAGACTAATTGATTCATGAATACAAGATATACTAATTATACATATACTCGATGATATTTATATTGATGATATAATATTTGTGTTTATTTTACAGTTTGCCTGACTTGTATACCTGAATATCACGTACTGCTAGCCAGGGTGGATCAGTTAGAAACGGTAAGTGTTGTGTGAACTGCGATCAACGTCGCCAGCCTTTCATCGTTTGTTTTTTTGCCGACGACAGAGGACGTGGCATAGAGCGTAAAGGGTTTCATGTGTATTTGTTAACCATGAAAATTACATGAATGGAGATAGTCACTTGTTGGCATGCCTTTTTCTTTTAACATTCTGAATAAGAAGATGAGCTCTATTTTATAGTTCTTCATATAAACTATTTTAGTATAGTGTAAATGAAACGAACTATTAAACTAGCCCTACTTTCTGGAGGAAACGTACCAGACAACTATAGACCATCCATCGTAAGGTCAACATATAACTCTCTACGTCAAGCAAGCAAGCAAGCAAGAAAGGGGACACTTTCAAAAACGTCATACAGATAGAATGCATACGTTTTAAACTATTATTTGAAATTAATATTGCTTTTTTAACTCCCGCGTGTTGACATTTCATTTTGGCATTTCATGATGTATGTCCCATGAAAACAGTAAGACACATTAACGTTCGCCCTCTCTGTCCCGCCAGGAAGTGAAGACGCTTGGCCTAGAGGCTAAAAAACCACAGCCTATCACCGTAACCAACGCAATTGTTAACGACGAACAGTTGCAGCAGCTTGAAAGAATCTCTTCTCTCAGTGAACAAATATCTTTACTTGAGGAAAGACTGGATGTGTGTAAGTATATTTCCACTATTGGGCAAGAATATGAACACATGCGTTATGTATGTCGCTGTTGACACACCTGTATAGTCGCGTGTTCTACAATGATTCCGAAAGTACAAAGCAAACTATTTTTTTTTATTTACTAAAAATGAGCATTTTACCACTCGTGAATACCTCGCCACAGGGGGCGACATTCACTGAAACATTCGCAAGCGCGTTCCTAAAAATAGCAGAGAAAGCGATTTCATTTCCATAGTCTGAAACTCAATAAAATAAATAAAAGGGCAAATTCTTTTGAAAATTCTGAGATGTTTATAATCTAAGTATGAGTATGAAAACAACTATAATAACATTATTTAAACAAAAAAGGTAGATCATTAAATCTTTTTGTTTGTTCACTTAAACCGTAATATATGAATATTATTTGTAACCCCAACTTAACATATTTCTACTCATTTTATTTCTTAAAGCGGGTGAGTCGTCACATGTACATGCGTATACCCATGAGCCTTTGCGTTTGTAGCGTGTGTTGTTATCGTCGCTTGGGACTCAACTCCCGCGCGTGCGCAGGTGATGACCCTCCCGCTTTAAGTCATTTTCAATTTCAAAAATAATTTTGTGCACCCTCGTTTTTCTTCAAATGGGTGATCTTTTTGTGAGTGACATCAGCATTTGTTTGCTGCTGCTGAAAAAGGGTTCTATTTACTTAATCCTTTATGTCTTGCTATAACCCGACGAGGTCGCGTGAGTTGCGCCCTCCGCGGTGCTCCAAACCCAACACACTGATGCCGTTCGGCCGGCGAGGGCCTACTCACGCCCACATGTCAGGCTAGTCTTGTTATGACCGGGATGAGGGACACATTGATGCGTATGATCCTGTTATATGACCCGTATTACCTCTGACACAATGTTAACCAGAAATTTACCGTTTCTTTCACAGGTACGTGTAACGAAAATAAAAATGGTTATGGATTTGGTAAAAAATAGCTGTATTTTTATTCAGGAGTGCAAGATAATCTTGTCAACTAACCAGCATTGGGGAGGCGTCACCGTGTTGTATTAATCATCATATTTGTTTTATAAGTGTATTCTCACTTTGGTCGATACTAGTACTAGTTTTAGTTGCCTGCCCATTGTAAATTCAGCCCAGTAACTTCAACAATAAACAACATGGGTTTTGTTGTTTCCTAGTTAGAATCTGGACAAAAAATTGACAAGTATTTTTTAAGAAACTTCACAACATAGTAATTGTTTAAAATTAAATAAAGTATATTTAAATTGTTTATTTAAAAAGAAAATGCTAAATATGTTCTGGAAGTTGAGACCAAACTGGAATTTTAGCAACAACAACGGTCTTACAGTCCAGATTCGCTGTGAATTGTACATTTTTTGAGCCATATTTTACACCAAAATGCCCCTTTTCGTCTGTTTTACTCTAAATATGTCTTGCTTTGAAAACGCTAATGTTTTTTAGCATAGTTATCAACACTACTATTTTGGGAAAATTGTATTTTTTTTAGTGATCAGGTGGTTCCCTGTATCACTATGATGAATAGAGTTGTAAACATTTCAGAAAATGACGTTAAACTTGAACCGAGTGCGCATATGTTTTCTCATTTACGAACGATAATTTTCAAGACTCGTACAAGTTCACGTGTTGTTCACGCTGCGACTGGTGACGTTCACATTCTGACGCTGATCGTCACGGCAGTCTGCGTATACGTGAGAAGAACCACATGAACCGATGACGGAAAAAAACTGAAAAGTTTGTCTGGACTGAGGTTTGTTGAAAGGTGTGCTTTAAAAGGAAAGAACAACTGTGGCATAATAATGAATTCTTGGTGGGGGTAGGGAGGGTATTTGTTATGCTACTACGCAGGCATCTCAGTCTCCAAAATATAACGATTTAAGTTACATTAGACGGGCTACCAAATAGGTTTGAAAATTTAAAATCACCCGTCAAAAGATTGGAATTACTTGACTAAGTATTGATGACGTAATCATGTTGTAGCACTATAATCGGATTGAAACCCGGATGGTTTTACTTTCCATCGCCGGTATTTGAAGGCGATATGCTCTCACGACCACATTTTTTTTCTACAGTCTATACATCGAAGTTTAATCATATTGTGATCAATAGTATGACGTCTGACGTCACCATATAATATTCGAAGAGAAGCCGAGTCAATCGCGCAAAATGTCTAATCCTGCTGTAAAATGTTTTTCCTATATATTAGGCGATTTTAATAAGACAATTATTGTATTTACTTTATTAAGCTGCCATTTCTCAATGAATTTTAGCAAACACTGCGGCAATTTAGTCTTATTTTTAACTTATGGTACATTTATGTGTTATTTTTCAAAGGTGCTATTTACATACAGTCGATAGAGGGCGCCGTCCATCTAGATCACATTTATAAGTTTAGCGACAAACATATAGCAAATGTAATTTTCGAAAGTAACGTCGCGACATGAATGTGCATATTCATTTTTTTAAGCTAGAGGTAAAATTAATTTTGTATTGTTTTTGAAACAATGTCTGCAAACGTTTTTGTTTGTAACCATGAGGATCAACTAGTTTTGTTTTTTACTGTTCTCACTGTATACAAGTTAATCTGAAATATATTAGGACGCATTTGGAATCTGTAACCTTATTTTTGTTTCAAAAATGTAAATTTTGTTTAATTATATTGTGAAGTTGAGTGACACAAAAATGACACGTGATCAAAACGAGTGATGCCCGCAACGTTCAATCGCATTGCGATTGCGAAGTATACTGTAAAGAGCGGCAGAATCTTAATTTAGCTAAAATGCCAAAGCGGGAGAGTCGTCACCTGCGCATCCGTCAGATAGGCATAGCGTGTCATCTTTTTTTTTTTTTTTTTTTTACAAACAAGCGTCTGCCATCAGTCTTTGCATTTTTAGCATGTGTTGTTACCGTCGCTCGGGACTCAATTCCCGCGCGTGCGCAGGCGACGACCCTCCCGCTTTAAGTACACTGGAAGAAGTACAATTAACACAAGTGTGATTTGAAGATGCTTTGTATGGAACTACACGCTCACACCTTTTGCGCATTCTACCGGAAGCCCGTTGTGCGCACGCGCATCAGTATGCAAATTAACCGTTTGACCTAGTAGGGATACGGAAGTCAGAGCACACTCATTGAAGGCAAAACGTCTTGTGTGCCCTTGATTTAATTCAATACGAGAGGAGGGGGATTTAAGGGTAGTATTTCTGTCACTCAACATATTTTGTCATAAACAATAAACCAGGTTAGAAATCCATGTTTTTCAAACGGTATGTTTTTTTTTGAGGCAAACTTATTTCATGCAAGCGCACGGCTGCGATTATTATGTTGCATCCGTAAACACTACTGTATGTAACTAAATTGAAGAAAATAAATGTTTAAGAAATTACATTGGTTGTACTATGGCTAATTGATTGATCATATATTATGCAATCGTTGGGTTCGAGAGATACAGTCCAAGAAACTGCGGCGTAACATCTCTGTTGCGTGGTGTATGTGCAGTATGGGGTGAATAGGGCAATTGTCTCTATGCATTTTTGGGTGAAAGTGGGTAAATAATTTTTAGCTAATTACAAATATTCAGTTTTCCAAGTTAGATTCTGATATTTTTAACTAATGGCCGGCTAAAACAAAATGATCAACTACAAAACACATACTGGTCGCATTTGTCATCCTATATGGTGACACATTTGTGAACAATTATCAAAAAGGTCGACATTGACAGATCATAAGCTAATATAGTTGATCTCACTGCCCTTCGCATCTTTGGAATTTTGCAGACAATATGTTTTTAAAAAGCATATCGTGTACCAAGTAACCAAGCACTGTGTTTATCATCTGAGCTTAATTATGTAATTCAATTATTAGAATTTGAATTATCATAGAAGTAGATCCAGGTTCTAGCAATCACATAATATTCGCGGGATAATAATTATTTTATAGAAGACTGACCGTTAAAGACTCCGAATAGTATATATTAAAAAAAATATCCGTGAAAAATTACAAACAATATTATTGTTAATATGTATAATTTATTTAGTACTGTATGCCACAATTTTAAGAATGTTGATAATAAATCGCATGACCATGGTTATTGGTTTATTATGTAAATTTATGGAGTTATTGTCCTATGGCACCTATGGTATGATATGACTTTTTAAAAGTCGCTACCTTAGTGGAACAATTCTAACAATGTTACAGAAAATAGAATTTGTTGACACTTTGTAAGACCCATCATTTTAAAATAATTCGGTGCTGTTTACGTGATTTAAATTAATGGATTTTCAGTGCGACCGAATGTTGATCGTTTAAAACAAGGAATAATTCTAACCACATATTTAAAACATTTATAAATGTGTCACATATTAGTCAAAACTAGCAGTACATTTACAAATACAAAAAAGGGGAAACTATACTGCACTTCTGGTCAAATATCTTTGTTATTTTTACAGCCATGGTCAAAGTTCAAAATTACTACTTGTACAATAAGAGTTATTTTTTAGAACAAACAGCGGAAAATGCTTGATTTACTAAAACCGTTGCTATGGACAACGATTGTAAATCTTTGTCCAAATTGTTTCAATGCCAAATTGTATGTGTGTGTGTGTGCGTGTGTGTGTGTGGGTGCGTGTCAGGAGGGGTGGGGATGGGGATGGTCGGTTCTGACACCAACCATTGATAATTTATGTAAAAACTCCAACCATTTGAAATAGAATAGAAATGAAATGATAGTAACAAGTACGTTTCAACGCTATTTTTTTTCTTTCTTTGAGTGAGTACTTTTCGATGTGACATCATATGGATACCATAACACTAAGCGATCAATACATTTCAAAAAGGGCATTCGCTCATATTTCATCTCCCTTAGCAATGTGCTCTTTTTATTATCCATAAATTACTATTTCAGATTTGTTATACGTTTCAAAATCTGTAAAATTGTTTGATGGTAACTACGGGTAACAAGTAATAGCGTGCTAATCATATTTTGTCAAGTGGGAAATGCTCTCAAATTTCTGTTTACATTTTCTTATTTGAGATTATGGAACGACTACTCCGATTGGCTGAGCATCGAGACGTTCAATGGAATGACTACTCCGGTTGGCTGAGCATCGATACGTTCAAAGAAAATACATTTTTCATAATATTAAACTATATTGTGCACTTCTCTGCCAATGATCAAATTTATTGTGTGCGATGCATTTAGTGCGTAATTTCAGTTCAGTACCTAAAACCTGGTTGCGAGAAAACACGTCCTCCATGCGTTTACATACCAGTGACGGACTAATTAATATTTCTACTAATAATTATTGAATTATTTGTTACGTGATCGCAATCGAAGCACAGACAATGGTACTTAACACTTGTGCATCTATTTTGGTTTTGTGCATTGTTATTGTTAAATATTTTATTTCAAAATCGAATTCAGAAAGTCAGAACAGCAAAGGATTTTAAACCATGGGAAATTTACACAATGACTGAATGTACAAAAATAGATCACACATGTTATTTATCGTTCAAGCTTTTCACGGTATTTAAAAGTAAAGTATATGTACTAAATACATTCAGCAATGTACAATTAACTATGCAGTAGTGGTAACATATAATATATAGGATTTTGTATCAAAATTGACAGAAATATTGAATAAAAATAGATGGTATCGTCACAAAATGAACAAACTTGATTGAAGTCTACCTAAAGTCACTCTATATAAAATATCGAAACATTTGGAATAGCCATTTTAAAGAAAAAGTTGAAAATCACTTTTTACAAGAAATAATATGAAATCGAAAACGGAGCTACAAATGACAGGCTCATTTGTTGTGAAACTAACAAAGAAATACTTTTGTTAAACCAGATATACTGGCAAATACACATATCTCAGCAGTGTCGAAAGCTTGTTTATTATATAATCTTAAAACGTGCGGAAATATTTAAAATAATATCCAATTGATAACCATA